CCCCAAAACCCCAAAACCCCAAAACCCCAAAACCCCAAAACCCCAAAACCCCAATCAGCTATATAATTTAATAATAATATGCATCAAAGACCAAATACTGAAGGCGAAGGCGACAAGGACAAGGACAAGCAAGTGCTCGTTGATGAAGAGGGAGAAACTCTCCTTGATGTTAACCCTATGAAGAAGAAGTGTAAAGAATGTAAAATAGAAGTGGTAACATATGTTGAGCATGAACTCTCTGCATATTTTTATCTCTTCCTACTCGTGTCACTGTTTTTGTTTGGGTGGACCTTCATCTTCCTGCTACCTTTTGCTTATCTGTTACTTCAAAATGTAGTGCACAGGTGTTCGCAATGCCTCAATGAGATAGGCACGAGACATATGTTCGGACTCCCTGACTTTAGTCAGGATATCCTAACATTGAGGCTGGGAAAGTCCATGATTATTGTCGTGCAAAGAAAGATAGGGATTGCCATCATCTCTGTTTTTATGCTAATCTTCCTTTATTTCTCATGGTTCTACAACTTCGGAGCTCTCGAAGTCACCAATGACTCTAAGGAGTCCATAGAGATTGCAGCTGGGTGGGAGGAATTCCATGAGGACTGAGGCTCGAATGTGATCCTCTCCAACGGTGTCCGCGCCAATGAGATTTACCATAATAAGTATCATAAGAATATAGTCAATTGGTCCGGCTACTTTATTGATTACAGGAAGTCTCAAGCGATCACTTTTGGGGAGAACTCTCATTCAATTAACATCTTGATTAAGATGGAGCCTTCAGAGACAGAGACTGAGCCGGACATCGTCCTTTCCATCTCTGGGAACATTGCTAAGGCCCATCAAAGCCTCATTCAATCGTTGGAAAAAGGCGATGAGATCAACTTTCAGGCTAAATTTATGGCTCTAGGGGACGAGATAAGGGTCAACCATCTCCACGCGATTACTCTGACTAAGACAGGTCTAAATAAGCAGTTGCCGGATATAATAATCAATGAGAGTGGGCTTCCTAGCCCTGTACCAGAGAATTCAAGTTCCTCATCAAGCGATAATAATTAGGAGAAGTAGAATGCAGCTCAATGCGTGGTTTTGGAAAGGGGTTTTGGGGTTTTGGGGTTTTGGGGTTTTGGGGGTTTTGGGG